ATAAGCACCAAGCAAAGGATGCCAGCCAAGAATGAATTAGCTGTTAGAATAAAGCATTTATTTTGGTTATGGCTTATTGGGAGGGCTCAACATGCTGCTTTTATATTTGTTTCTTCCTAGTTTCCAAGGCAGTGCTGGGTTTTCTTTCAGACTGCAACCACGCTGAATTGGGAGAAGACCAAAAGCTGAAGTGGTGAGAGGAGACAGGTCTTAGCAAGTGCCCTTAGGTCTGCTCTGAGCCTCAGCGTGGAGCTTAAGTTGTGAGAGCAAAATAGAAATAAGCAAACAACTGGTTCAGTAAGAGGCAGTGATTGAGGAATTGGCAACTGAGCTCCTGAGCTTTTTCTGTTACCTTTTCCATTTTTGCCTTTTCCTCTTCTTTTGCAAATGGAAAGCAGGTAAAAAGTCCAGGGAAGAATAAGCACCGAGGGGAGCAAACATTTACCCAGGGCAAGGAAGAAAGTGTCCTCACCCCAGCGCTCACCAAGGCACGTCTGGCTGCTTTGCTGCAGCCCCAGGAAGGACTGCAGGGCAGATGTGCCTTACGACCCAATGTGCAAAGTTAAAACGCCCACTGCCTTACCATGGCCAACCTGAGTGAGCTTTGGAGAGATACCATAAGCATGAGAGCAAAAGCAAGAGCACCTCTCCGGGTACCAACACAGCTCCATGAGGGTACCAGCACTGGCTTTATTCCTTTGGTCTCCCCCACTAAACACACATTTCTCCCCGTTGCTAACAGCACTCTCCACTGGTCTTCCCATGGGAACAACCTCGTGAACATCCCACATATCCTTTCTCCTTCACTCATTTTTTGCCATCCTACCCTTCAGAGATGCAGCATTAATTTGGCCTGAGCTCGTGGGCAGACCTTGGATGAGTTTATATGCTCCATGCCTGAACCCATAGACAATTACCAACATGGCTGGCTGCCTGGCTTTGTTAATTAGCTACCAGCAATGCCTCATTTTCCCCTCTGTGGTTTCCTTCTGAATTAGTAGTCCACTGCTCATTAGTTTTCTTTTGCTTTGGGATGCCACAGTTGAAAATTATGGCATTCCAAAATACCAGTTAGTTGATAGTATAAACTTGATTTGTTTGGAAAATAAAAAAAAATACTAGTTACACGTAGGTAATTAAGCAAAATAACAGCAAAGCTATTTTGTACTAGTGCAAACTGCCTGCCCTCTACCAGTGCTCAAGCTTCCTGTTTCCTGATTTGCTGGCAACAAAATTTAGAGTAAGTGTCCACAATAATTTCTTGGGTTTGCTGTGAAATAATAATTTTCTTTTCCTGTGAATCTGGTTCAGTCAAGTTGGTATCAGCTAATGGGACATCACCCTGGACACTGACAAGGTACAGCAAGTCAGCAGGTGCCATTGGAAAGCATCCTTGTCACCCTTGTACCTCCTTGCTACATGATTTAGTCTTTTAGATCTTTCATTGCACCTAGAGATAGGGATGTTTGTGCAGAATTAAGTCCTTCCTGAAGTTATTGCTTGAGATGAAGTGGCCAGTGTATTGCAGGGTACAGCCATAGTCAGGATTTCTAATTTGAGCAAAAATCTCCATATCCCCAGGAGATTATCAAATGAAAGGATTTCCTTGCCAGGTGTAAAGAAGGTGTAGGAATATCCAGCTGAATTTGCAGTCCACAAAGTGCTGTTGCAGGCGACAGCTAGGGATGGCCCTAACTTGTCCCCCAGCTATTTCAGTCTGAGATAGCCACTTCCCATCCCTGCAGCCAGCAGAGCACAATAGGCACACGGAAAAGCTGCTGCTCATTCGAGGGAGGAGGATGGCCCTGGCAGGTATTTGGCTCTCCTCTTGTCTTGAAGGGAAACAAATGTCTGAATTCAGGTGGAATGCCTTCTTCCTCTGGCTTGCCCCTTTCCTGATGGACAGTCATCTGCAGAAAAATCTGCTATGGCAGACTCAGGAAATTTTAGTGCTTTGTTCCCACTTCAGAACTCACAAGAGACTTTTGGGAAAAGGGACAATGGATGAAATGGCAATAAAATCTTTGGTCAAGCTGTCGTGCCTGGCTGATGACCTCAGGAAGCCTGTGTGCCAGGCCAGCAGGCAGAAAGGGAGGAAAGGTGCATTTTTCCAAAGACTAGAGGCTGAAACGGGTCTTCCCATTAACTGCTACTTTGGGATTGAACCCACTTTGTGCTACTTCATGTTTTCCTCTTGTGCTGGTTTTGGCTGGGGTAGAGTTAATTTTCTTCACAGTCGCTGGTGTGGGGCTGTGGTTTGGGTTTGTGCTGGAAGCTGCGCTGATACCACAGGGATGTGTTCGTTACTGCTGAGCAGCGCTTACACCGAGCCAAGGCCACCTCTGCTCCTCACCCCATGCCACCAGCCAGTGGGCTGGGGGTGCACAAGGAGTGGGGAGGGAACGCAGCTGGGACAGCTGACCCCAGCTGGCCAAAGGGATATTCCATACCGTATGACGTCATGCTCAGCATATAAAGCTGGGGAAAGAAGGAGGGGAGGACGTTCGGAGTGATAATGTTTCTCTTCCCAAGTCACCGTTACACGTGATGGAGCCCTGCTCTCCTGGGGTGGCTGCACACCTGCCTGCCGAGGGGAAGCAGGGAATGAATTCCTTGTTTTGCTTTGCTTGCACACACGGCTTTGGCTTTACCTATTAAACTGTCTTTATCTCAGCCCACGAGTTTTGTCACTTTTACCCTTCCGATTCTGTCCCCCATCCCACCCTGGGGGGAAGTGAGCAAGCAGCTGTGTGGGGCTGAGCTGCTGGCCAGGGTTAAACCACGACACCTCAAAAGCCAGACGAGGTTAAACCACGACACCATTTACTGTGGTGACACCATGTACCAAGGTTACAGGCAGACTAAATGGCAATGCGTATTTATTTATAAAGACTTGTTTTCATTTTCTTATCTGCATCCTGGAGTTTGGGCTCAGTTCAACCAGGGAGAGCACTTCCAGCAACTTGATGCTTATTTAAGTACTTAGCACTAAATAACAGCAGTAGCAACCAGGGTGGTAAAATAATGTTTTATTCCATGAATGAACAAACACTACCATGCCACATCCTAAAGTTCTTTCTACAAAAGATTGTGGACAGAGCAGATTTTTACATTTCTCAGGTCAAGTTCATTTCAGGCTTTTGAGCCTGTTCAGTGTAGCAAAATCTGGACACGCAGCATTCTTATTGTCTATTTGGCATTTTGCCGGATAAAGCAGATTTATACTGTAGTTCTTGTTCACACAATGTCGATGCACTGTAAATGAAAGAAGATAATCAAAACCAAACTAAGTAATCTCTGTGGTTTATCAATATATTTTTCATGATGGTCAAAGTACAACCAACATTCAAAGCTTAAAATAAAGATAATAAAAAAGACACACTAAAGAACACAATGGAAACATATCATCATCATTGCTGTCAGGATGTGAGTTTACCCACAGTACTATGTAAAAAGTAGAAACCGTCATTGATATTCAAGCTGTCAAAACAAGAAAAGAAATTACATTAATTGTTATATTTCCAAGCTAGTACTTCTAAAGAGTCCTGATCAGCAAAGAAGTGTTATCGCATGCATGCTGAACACAAGACTAATATTGGATTGGGGACCTGACAAATAACTGACTTACATTCCCTTATATACAACAAAATGAAATATACAGTATTAATACTGGCTGTACATTTGGTCAGAATATTTTACAAGGAGCGACACTAGTCAAAATTCTTATAACGCAGTAAGTGGAAGTGAATGAAGGTTGGATTTCTTTCTGACAGTCGAATGTTTTCACAAGAAGTTTTAAAAGTTGCTTTGCACTGCTATAATGAAGTGTTAGATATTTTAAAGCAAAAATGCTCCCATTTGTTTTTCTTTTATGCTTGGCAAAACTAGTGTTAGCAGAAGAGAAAATCAAATGTGTTTGGAATCTGCTAATCATTGACCTGGAATAAAACTATGCTGCAGACAGCATGTGCAATAAACCTCTGCACACTGGTTCTGTTTAAATGGCTTTATGAGATGATCTGTGAAGTATCTAGTACAAATTCCTCCTACCATAGCCTCATCTAGCTGTTCCCCAACAGGTTGCCAACCAATTGTTCCAATACTAAAAGAAGAAAAACAATAATTGTGACCGTCGCATATTTTTCTATGGTACAATAAAAAATACCTAAGCGTTAAGCTGATTTACTTTATTTATGTGCATATTTTTCAAGGCTGCCAAAGAAAATACTTAATCTTGCAGGCAAAGCCTATGCCAGGAACATGAGATTGAGATTTCCCTTGCTTTATTCTAACTAATTTTTTAATGTCTGGGTACCTTGACCCCCATTGCCTCTTTAGACCCCTAAGGTCTAAAGTGAGTTGTTTAATTCAGTGTATGTTTTTTCCCCATCCAGAACAAGCTGTGAAGCTAACATGGTAAGCATGAGACCCAATGAAAACAGAAGTAAAAGCTATACAAAATTAAGAAATAATTAGAGGAAGGCAAAGATCACTGTAACTATGGTGATATTTCATACAATTGAATTTGTGTGTCCTGTAGCAATGACAAACCTCTGAACATGGGAAAGAGCAGGCAAGTCGTATGAAGCAGTATCCTTTAAAATAATTGTGCTATAATCTTTTCCATGTATTAGGTTAGGTTTCTTTCTGACACAGTGTGATGCTAACTATAGTAACCTTAATATGGATGATGGATTTCACTGCTACTGCTTGATTGCTTGAATGCAAAAAGACATTAAATCTTCCAGTCCTCAGAGCGGTTTCTTGGGGTGTTCCTTCAAGTTCAATGTCTTACCACTTTCATGCTAGAAGTCACTTTGTGGTAAACAAAAAAAGAAAGAAAAAAAAACAGAAAAAAAACCCAACCCAAAACAAAGAAGATGTTGGTTGTGATGGATTCATTTCAGACAGCAGTTTCTGCTGAGTTCACCATGCTTAATGTTCTTCCATTTAGGAAGGAGTTGCTGTCAAGTAAAGCAGATGAGCTGCTTTCAGTTTTCTTTAAATACATGCTAACAACGTAACATCTCTTTCACCAGGAAAATGATCCAGTTGCATATTAGAGAACATCTGCCTTGTGCTTAGCACGGACAAGTAGGGTTAATCGTCGTCCTCCTCCTCTTTCAGTGGGGCTATCGGGAGTTTGTCCTGAACTTGGAAACATGCCACAAAGAAGTTGACGATGGAGTTGTACAAATGCTGCTCCAGTGCTGCATTGCTAAAATAATGGCTTTCATCAGGGTAAATCTGCAAAGAAACAGGCAAATACACACCATTAGGAGCTTGAAGTCTCAGGACTGACCATCCATATCTGCAGCTCGAGCTGGCCTGCAAGCTCACTGCTTCTTCTCAGCACCACGTGTCTTCCTGTAGATGCACGAGGTCCCAGGTATTTCAGACACCACAGCACTCTGAGCACAGACTTGCATCTTTCTTCAAAAGGAACTTTCTGGGGGATGATTTTCCATTTAATTCCATTCTGAACAAGTTCAGGCTAAACAGAACCAGACCACACTTACAAATAACAGTGTTGCTTCTTGTGAAAACTGGAAAAAACCCACAGCAAGTCTGTGGAGAGAAATGGCTTTAGGCTTTACTGACTAAAACAAGGGCTTTAAAGAAAAAATATCATTAAGTAAAAAATTGGAATAAAGTTTGCCAGAGAAGTAATTAAACAGAAAAAATGTGGGAAGTTAGAAAGGAAGTAGTTTAAACACATCTTTACATTTAAATGGAACAGGTCACTTCTGTACATGTCAAAGGAACGCAAAAGGATTGTAATGGGTTGTCTAGGCTGGGATATGGAAGAGGGAAAAGTTAGTTTCTAGGGCTGGACGCTTGCAGGCAGGACTGAGGTGTCTCACTGCTGCTCTGAGTACTTCAATACAAGATGTAGGTCCCTCAGCCCTCCATTCAGTCCTCAACTAACCTTTGAGGTGCATCAAGCCCATTGGTGCCTTCAAGCTCCAATGTACTAATGCTTCTGCACTGGGAAATGTGCAGGGGCACCTCAGTCATTGTAGTGCTGACCAAATCCGTGCCAGGCTCCTTGCTTAGCTCCTATGTCTGTGCTCCGTCCTATCTGCCTTTGGAGCACGATGGAGTGAGCATACCCATCACATGAAGCTCCGCAGAAATGCAGCCAGAGGGAGCTGGTATTCAGTAAATTAAGAGTTAGTAGGACTTGGGCACTGCAACACAACCGTCAATACTCTGAGCTGTAGCATGGCCCCTGGCACAGACTGAGCCTGGGTTAGTTGCACTCTCCTGGCTGTGGCTTGGGATGTAGCAGAGGGTAGGGATCACCCCTATGGCTGGTGGATGGGTTCATTTTGAAAGCTTTAATGGCTTGGACACAGGCCACTCAGCAAATCAGACATGCAATTCGGTGTAAACAGGGGATTTCTAGACCAGAATATGTCAGATCTAAGTGACATTTCTCTCCTCAACTTTTCTGGTTGATTTAATTTGGGTCCCTGTTTCCCTGTAATTCATCCTGAATTTTGCCTGCTGTTCCCAAAGAAAGTCAACAGGCATCAATTCCTTAGAGATATGTCTCTCAAAACCTAATTTACTGTAATTTAATAACTGTTCTACAACTGTCCAAACCAAAATAGTGGCATCAAATAAACACGTGAGTACACAGGAACACATTATATGCTGGTGCTGTTCCTACTGGCAGGCTGTGTTTACAAGTGGCTTTTCAAAGCCTGCTTCTTAACACCAGTTTGAGTTCAAACTGGGAAATAACGGTTCAAATATGAAAAAAGGAAACACATACTGTACCTGCAAGCTGTAATTAGCCTTTGCCCTAATTAGGTGTGTGATAAGGTCCGCAGTATGCTGAAAATGTATTTTTTCTGTAAGAACAGATTACAATCATTAAAGAGGCAAATTTAATTAAGAAAAATCAAAGCCATCCCGAACCTATAACGAGCTCAAATGATGGGCTAACTTACCATCAGCAGTAGCATGAATGATCAAAAATGTCTGTTCCTTCAGTAATGAGACTCTGTGTGCTAATTTAGTGATCTGTGAAGGTAAAGGTTGCCGTAAGATTAAAAATCTTGCTAGAAATTAGCGATTTGTATGGAGAAAATAGAAGCATTTAATTCCATTTGATACTTTATCACAGGGACAACAAGCAGACAACAGCACTGCAGATTCTCTTGGCTACTTGAGTAAGTCTGGAGGTAAAATAGACCCCCACCCTGCCCTTCCAGGCTCAGTATCAGTGGCAGAAAGAGGTCAGAGACCCCCATCTGTTCTGATAACGTTCACCAAAAGCCTGAACTGCAGAACACATAAAAAATGTCAAGTGAATTTCCAGTGAACACAAAACACTGATGAAAAGCGTGTACAGGTGCCTATAACTAAGAACTCCCCGGACAGCTGGATTGACTTTGGTATGGTTTGAAAGCCAATCTCAATGATCTCTGACAGCCCAGGGGAGGATCCAATACTAAATTCAAATGTCCACTGCTGAGAATGCCTTTGCCCCCAACTGTCTTTCAGATGCACAGGGGAAATACAAATCTAAGTGACTGCAAATGGTACTGAGTAAGAGAAATAAAGGACCTCTCCATTTTCTGCTGCATTGTTCAGAAGCATAAAAGTCTCAAGGAGGCCCTAAAAGACTCCAAAAAAGTCTTGGAGCGGCAAAAGGAATGTACGTCTCAAATCACAGATGCTACTGCTCTACAGGGGGCAGGGAAGGATGGCTGTCTCAACTTAAATTCATGTTTCCTTCACTGTTTAAATGCATGTGCCCTAGATCTAGTTCACTTACATGAGTTAATGTGTTTTTCAGTTAAGACACCCTTGTATCGATCCTATCTTTCACCTGTTTTCATCTTCCCACTGTCCTAAGTGGTTTCTACAGAAGATAGACAAGAGCATCTCCAACAGCAACAGGACCTTCCATGCCTGTCTACGGAGGTCAAATTAGCTGGCTAAAAACATTGGCATGTATTATCAAGAAACGATCACTGTCATGTTACATTACAGCTTACATATATCTCTCCTCATTTAAAAGATAAAGCAATCCTGAACATTAGAAGTGGCTCTGCGCATTTCCTTAGTACTAGAGGCAAGTTTTTGGAAATTCTGGTGGATGCAGGCCTGTTCTGACCTTCTTGCAGCTCCACACTCTGTATGGATTTAGAAAGTGTTAGCAAATTTTGCAAGAGTGCCCTCTGATCTTCCCTCTTTTGTTGGACTAATTTAATGAGTTCTCTCAGATTGCTAGCTGTAATGCTTAGGTCTTGTGATGGTGTATGCACATATCTTGCACTCTGTTCTCCCCCTGTATGGCTCCTTCCTTTTTGCTCCCTCAGCTGTAACCTACCACATGATAATACACCTTTTTTTTGGAGTCTACATCAAGTCTTGAAATTAGGTGATTTTCATAAAGTTCACATCTGGTCCATGGGTTAGGAACAGTTCTTCTCCCTAAACCATTCATGGTTCAGCTGTGGCATGTAGGGGGTGTGTATCAGTTAGGGTCCGTACCCAGAACCGTGCCATGCTCTGCAGAGAGCTCAGGTGCTGTTCCTAGCAGTTAATCCCAAGTCAACCAAAAGTACCGTTATTTGCTTTGGCCAGCTTTTCCATACACAAAGTGCACATGGCAATACGAAGCTCTCATTTCTGGGATATTTTCCCTTGCTTTCACCTCTACTGACCCGCCTTCAAGTTTCTAAAGAACTAAAAGTGTTTGCAATGATCTAGAGATTATGAGTGCAAAATCTGAGAGACAATGAACTCAGTATTTAGATAGCCAAGAAAAGCTTCCACTGCAGGGGCACAGGGTGCTACCTGCCTTCTCTGTAAGAAACCAGTCTCAGACCTTTGCTGCCTCCATGTCTTCTAGCTGAAGACAAGGCTCAGTAGGCCTAACAATGTTTTCTGTATAACACATCTTGTTTGTATGACTGTTCTTTATTAGATTTTTCCTCCAAGTAATTGAAGGAGAGAAGACATGAACCAACTGATCCCACCATACATATTAAAAAATATCTTCGTTAAATGGTGACATGTCTCCTTTTCCATGTCCTGCTCATGCACAGAGTTCTGCCTACCTGAAATATCATATCTGTGCTTACATTGAAAACACCAAGAGAAGCTGAGCTTCACTTGACTTTGGGTCAAATTTATACCTCAGAGAGAATCAAAGTGTCAAAACCATCAGGGTGAATGTTAAAGGAGGTCATGACATCGTGTCCACTTGGGCACATCTGAGTCACGCAGCGTCAGCTCTTTCAATCTGTAAAACTGGAATAACTGTATTTACCCAATTTAGAGGCAGACATGAAGGCTAATCAATGAAAACCATATCATTACTATTAGGACAACAAAAGCAGTAAGCAGGCTGAAGGACACCTTGCTGCCTTTTAAATACAGAGTTTCACTGGTGAGTCTGTCTTACATATCCTTTTTCCCTCCCCAAAAGAGAATACAGCAGAATAATGAGGAAGAGTTAAAACCCTGTTCACATTTTATCAGGGAAATGCAGTGTCCATGCAGTTACCTCATATGCTCTGTTATCAATCCCATGCAAGCCCAAGTATCTTTCAGAAAAGGCTGAAGCTTGAAAAGAAAATAAAGAAAACATCTCTTTCAGTCACAAGTGAGTACACTGGTGCTTCTGAGTCAAATATTGCAAATGCTAAAAAAGATCTTGTTTTCTAACATTGCCTTAGTTACACAGGACATATTTCTAAAAGCTTGAAAATGCACTAAGAATATGTATGCAACTACAGTCTTTCATTACCACCATGTACTTACGGTTTCTAAATAAGTCACAGAAGAGCCTGTTTGTTTGTTTGTTTGTTTGTTTCCCTTTAATGCAATCAGATATGAGAGGAGAAGAGCACTATCATGTTGTGTCCCCTTCTCCTTTCACATGGGGCCATCTCCATCAACACCCTACTGCAAGCTCCCGTTGGTCTCAGGGATAACTGTAGGGGACCTGAAGCCTCACTTAATACCACTGAATTTCGTGGCAGTCCCCTGATTTTCACTGGCAGTAAGTGCAAAGGGAACTGGCGTCCCTGAGAGAAAGGACCACTGTGTGCAGTGCAGTATTGCCATCAGAGAGGGGATGAGGCGGTCAGGCTGGATCACAGCTCCCATGGATGGATGGCTCAGGTAAGAAAGAAGCACATTCAAGGCAGTGATGCAGGTTGGTGTCAGAGGGTGGAGGGGTTTAGAGCACATTCTCCTTTATTTAAAAGCAGTGAGTAATAAAAGTAATTTTATTACTCTGACCACAGTGGTTCATCCCACTGGTGCCAGCAAAATTGCTCTTGAGGGGGATAAAAGGTTTATAGCTAGTCCTAAGAAGACACACAATACAAAACCAGCAGGAACTTGGGGAGGAAGGAGAAAATAACTGGGAAAGGATAGGGCATAAAAATCATTTGTGGTCATCAAGAGGGTCTGTGGGTTCTGAGATGGGGTTTACCATATAGCTTGAAGTCTGTCAGCGGGGAAAGAGCAGCTCCACAGGCAAACACCTGGTTCTCTTCACCAGCTGGAAGCATGTAAGTGCTCAGGTAGCCACCGTAATCCTGGAACACAAACGGGACAGGGGCATCAGGGGTCTTGCTGCTTTTGGGTACAGAAACAGGGCAGCTGAGACCTTGCAGCAAACTCTCAGCATTATAGAGCCCTTAATACCTTGCCCTGAAAAACCACTAAATAAGGGACATCTCCTTGGCTTCATCAGCTGTGGCTGCAGATGAGCTCTATGCTTGTTGCACTCTGCTGAAGGCAGGATGGTCGTGTGCCCAAGAGCTTGCCTCTTTTCATCCCACATCACGGCCATGGGTCTGATCACATATGTTACCTCTCCAATGTATCACGCCAGTCTTTCGTTATTTAAAATGGACATCACAATTTCAGCGTCTGCTGTCAGCCTGTTAACAATTCCCTGCAGAGGTGCTGCTGTACATGCAGCTCTCTTCGCTCACTCTAAGCCTGTATCTCCCACAATAAACAATCTCTACTTGCAGTCCCATTCTCATTTCAAACCCTGTGTATTTTGCAATTGCTGTTTCCCAGCCGGACACACACTGTGGTACGAGTCAGCCTCAGAAATCAATATTGTTGTTGTACGTGTGTATGACACGAGCTAGATCTACCCACATTCCCATAGGTCTTCAGGGACAAGATGAAAATGAAATGAAAGTTTGCAAGGCGAACTGACAACGTTTTTCTGACAAATAGTCACTTTCTGCACTTGGAAGTTAATTTAAAAAAAAACCCATTGACTAATACATTGATAAAATGAAAGCTTTCATCTTTAACATCTCTGAGCAAGAAGCAATCTATATCAAAAATAAATAACAATAAAGAAGTCACCACTGACGTATTCAGTAAACCAGGATTTAGCTCAGCTGCTTAGCCACATCAGCCAACTAGGACAGCACAGAGGAACAACGGGAAAAAGTTACCTTCCCAAACACACCGACTCGCATTTTATCAATGTAATGCTCCTTCAGCATTGTCCTAGAACATGAGAGAGGAGAAAAAACAGTTAAAAATATATTACTTTTAGATACAGCAAACATAGTATGATTTTCATCAGGCTGAATTTGGGGTGGCCACAGAAAAATGATGCAGACAATCTAAATTCACACTGCTTTCAGATGAGTCTCTGTTCGATTTAATCTTGCAACCTGTTGTGTTGGATTTGACCAAGGAATGGCAACAAATAACCTGCACTACCTCTGAAAGTCATAACAAAGCTGATGCTATTGCACTTACTCTGATAGTATTTTTAGCATGATTACATGCAGAATAAACCTAACAATATGACAGGACTTGACATTTAGGGTTTTGCACTGCTTTTTCTGTTTTGAAAAGTTTAAGGGTTTAAAGATGGAACTACCAGGCCAGCAAAAAAAATAATGTAGGAGCTGATATGCCAGCTTACTTGATTGTAGCTATACGACTGTACAAAGCTAAAAATAAACAAGCTTTGAACATGTGATACAAATAAGAGTGCTCTAATTTAGCTCTGTTTAAGGCTTGTTTTTCTCCCTCTGCACTGGCTGTCATGAGCCCTCTCTCACATACCATCAGTTGGTCACAGCTGCATGACTACATTGTCCTTCCCTTCCACCTCCTTGCTCTACTCTATACACCATTAAAGCAACCAGGACTAATGAGACTCTTGGGTTAATTATCATTAATGAATTAATTTCTTCAATAACAGTGTCATTCACCGGACAGCTTCCAACTGATCCTTCTCTTCCAAAAGGCCCAGTCTCCTCTTCACCTCGTGCAATAGCTTAGTGCCTTGGAAGCCACTCCCGCGGCCGTCGAACTTCAGCACGATGGCATTGTGAGAGCTGACCATGACGCTTTCCCACGTCACCTCAAATCTCTCTGTTACGATCTGACTGCCTGGCGTCCCATCTCTGAAAGAGAAATAGGCATCAAGCAAAGGCGATGGCACCAAGCACAGGCCAAATGCCCTCCCTGGGGCCATGAGCTTGCTGTGGTGTAATGGGTTTGTGTGGCAAGGTTTTGGTAGCAGGGGGGTTACAGGGGTGGCTTCTGTGAGAAGCTGCTAGAAGTTCTCCCTATGTCCCACAGAGCCAACGCCAGCTGGCTCTAAGACGGACCCACCGCTGGCCAAGGCCGAGCCTATCAGCGACAGCGGTTGACCCACCGCTGGCCAAGGCCGAGCCTATCAGCGACAGCGGTTGCACCTCTGTGATAACGTATTTAAGAGAGGAAAAAAAATGTTATTGTGCAGCAGTTGTTGCAGCAAGAGAGAGGAGTGAGAATGTGAGAGAAACAT